GCGAAGGTCCAGTGTGGAGAGGAGCCTTGCGAGGGGCGAGGCACTGAGGAAGCGCTGCCCGCATAGCCTGAGGAGCTCCGCAGGAGCTCGTCTGGTTAGCACCAGGCACCTTTTCTTTAAGACAGGTGGAACCGCCAGGAGCTCCTTCGTTTAAACCACCTATTAGCTCAACAGAATTGAGCGATGATCTGTACCTTCTTGGTATATTAGGTGGGGTATTCGGGGTGTTCATATCTGTGTCTGTTATCCTCCCCAAGATGACTCCCATTGACCCATTATCCGCATTATAGGGTCACAGTCGAGTGGTTTTACCAACAAGCCGAGGACTGAGCACTACCGTTTCACGTTGGAACAATTTTTACAGGTTTTTATGTATTTTTTTAAATCCAAAAATATTCTGGAAAGTATTCAAGAAATGTTCGAAAAACGCCAACGTGAAACTATTGCTTGCGGTCACTGTGTTTTCGATTGATCATATTTCTATAGGTCATTGAATTTAATCAAGTTAAGCATAGAACCAACTTGCTAGCTCAGTCGGTAGAGCGTGAGACTCTTACGATTCAAATACATCGATGCATAAATCGTGATCTCAAGGTTACGGGTCTGATCCCCGCGTGGGGTTAGACGACTTTTTTTTTTTTTTTCATTTTGGCTTTATTAGGAAAGCTACGAGTCACAGATACTTAGTGGGGTTTTTGTTCCTTCTGAGGCCTCCACAAATTTATGTCGATTCCACACTGTATACACACATTACGTACAAGGAGTCGTTCGGCTAGCATGTTCTACGCTGCAACTGTCGTCGCATCCTCCTTCTCGCGTAGGCGACTGCTTTCGCTTCATTAAGTTGTTCGGGACCGTGTGCCAGCCTTGTAACCTCCTTTTCGGTGTCATTCATCAGAGCCCGGAGGAGAAGGATATTACTTGAGTCACGAAAAATCTGGAAATTTATAAAACTGTGCAAAGATGAATAATTATAGACATAGAGTAGCATCAGAAAGAATAGTGATGTGACCTACCGGATTAATTTGTCAATCATCCACCTCGGTGAAGCTCTAGGTACTGAGAGACGGTCCCGAGCTACCAAGACGAATGCCTCTTCTCTCAGTACAATAGTCGATGTCACACTAGTCGGGCAATCATTGTTGTAAATGAAGTTGAGGCGAACGCCCGGGAGTCGACATTTACCCTGTGCATGACGCATCGATGCAATGTACTCTTTCTGGGCACCCCAACCTTCGGCAGCAGTGTCTTCGAGGTGAATGGTGTCTAAATCGTTTATTTGGAGCATTCCTTCGATCTTCTGTGTGACTGCGTTGGATTTGGAGAGCAAGGAAACATTGTTCACATGAGAGGGTGAGACAGTGTAGTTGACGGCCGCGGAAATGGGGATATCTGGTTTCGGATCGCTTACGAGATTTAGAGAGAGGATTCTGGCCATTTGGAGGTGTTGCATTAGTTCATTGTTTTCCATGAAGTGTTTGACGAGCGTCGCAAGTCGTTTGTCTGCTGTCTTGCCACAGAATTGCTTGTGGATAGGCCTTCAGAGGATCACAACAGGTATGAAATCAGTCGATAAGCTTGGAAGGTCCAATCTACGTACCAATCATGTTTTTGGCACTGTATGTAAGAGAGGTTTAGACGGAAGGAAGGACAAATAGCTGGAGGTTGGTACTAACCTCTATTGAACAATACGATGTTCTTTTACACTAGCACGGAAAATAACTCCGATATCATGAAATAAATAGGAAGCAGAGGCACGTACCCGGCCGCAAGCCCTCAGACTGTTTCCCTGGTAGGCATTCTTAAGACATCCAGAACAATTGCGAGTGAGCTTCGGAATATTATCCCTCCTGAACTTTGGTATCACTAATTCCTGCGTTAATTGGAATGGCGATGGGGATTCAGCCTCTTTTGAGATAGGTCTAGAAGACAGAGTGTCGTTTAGAATATCTGTCATGACGGCGAAAGCGAAGGGCTATGAGACTTAGTCTCGTCCCCAGGCGGTCCCGGAAAAGCATTTCGAGCGGAGGGCGATGCGAGACGCATCTGAGAATGACATAATCAGCGGTTGAAGCTATTTTCAGCGTTGGACTCATAAGGATCCATAGTGCTTAGTGCTTATTGATGTGCCTTGCTATCGACCCTGGTCTTTCCTATCCAGATATTCAATGCTATTGCATGCAGGGTTTCTGTACCTTCATTTGGTAATCTGATATCATTGCTCGAAAATCTGATACCCGCACATGGTAATTCGAGCATGCAACTTCCGAAAGGGTCATCACGGTCAGGGGAGAATTTGATCCCACGACTACAGGATTGTGCTAACATGTTGATGGGAGATTTGAACTTGCGCCGTTGGGATTCTCATACCATCTAGCTATCTCTCAGCCTCCACATCACTATAAATGATTAGTTGCGATTATAATGTAAGTATATCACTGGTACAGTACGGTAAAAATATTTCTGAGATGAATATCGCCCAGGATCTGTTTGCAAGTCACGTAGAGTCATCGAAGAACCTAGAACACATCGGGCGTCAGACCCTCTTTTAAGAGTAACCACTCAAGTAAGCTATATTGGTGTTTTACGCTCAATTGACCCTTTCAGTGATTCTCGGAGGCAGCTAGTCTGAAGCATGGACCACAAATGGAACAGGGATAGGCAGAAGCAGTCATATCCGGCTGGATACGTATCATCTCTAAACATTAGCTGTTCTCAATTCTAAATGTCCCTAATTTCCCTAAATTTCTTCGGCATGACATCATGAGTGATGCGGCCGGACCACCGGGTCCTTAGGGACACTAAGAATTGAGGCACTTGTCCCTAGTGTTTTTGTCCCTAAATATATAGTTCTTGCATAAGCAGCTACAATACCAATTCGGACTTGGCCATTAGCTTTTTCAATGGACATTCTGCCCCCATCTGGCATGCCGCCCCCACCTACATACAACATGTATGCACATTCCGAGGAGGAAAAGC